GAGCTAGACACTGACAAGGTTGTAGTATAAAGCTAGGCACTGACAAGGTTGTAGTATAAAGCTAGACACTGACAATGTTGTAGTATAGAGCTAGACACTGACAAGGTTGTAGTATAAAGCTAGGCACTGACAAGGTTGTAGTATAAAGCTAGACACTGACAAGGTTGTAGTATAAAGCTAGACACTGACAAGGTTGTAGTATAAAGCTAGACACTGACAAGGTTGTAGTATAAAGCTAGACACTGACAAGGTTGTAGTATAAAGCTAGACACTGACAAGGTTGTAGTATAAAGCTAGACACTGACAAGGTTGTAGTATAGAGCTAGACACTGACAAGGTTGTAGTATAAAGCTAGACACTGACAAGGTTGTAGTATAGAGCTAGACACTGACAAGGTTGTAATATAAAGCTAGGCACTGACAAGGTTGTAGTATAAAGCTAGACACTGACAAGGTTGTAGTATAGAGCTAGACACTGACAAGGTTGTAGTATAGAGCTAGACACTGATAAGGTTGTAGTATAAAGCTAGACACTGACAAGGTTGTAGTATAGAGCTAGACACTGACAAGGTTGTAGTATAAAGCTAGGCACTGACAAGGTTGTAGTATAAAGCTAGGCACTGACAAGGTTGTAGTATAAAGCTAGACACTGACAATGTTGTAGTATAGAGCTAGACACTGACAAGGTTGTAGTATAGAGCTAGACACTGACAAGGTTGTAGTATAAAGCTAGGCACTGACAAGGTTGTAGTATAAAGCTAGGCACTGACAATGTTGTAGTATAGAGCTAGACACTGACAAGGTTGTAGTATAGAGCTAGACACTGACAAGGTTGTAGTATAAAGCTAGACACTGACAAGGTTGTAGTATAGAGCTAGACACTCACAAGGTTGTAGTATAAAGCTAGACACTGACAAGGTTGTAGTATAAAGCTAGACACTGACAAGGTTGTAGTATAAAGCTAGACACTGACAAGGTTGTAGTATAAAGCTAGACACTGACAAGGTTGTAGTATAAAGCTAGACACTGACAAGGTTGTAGTATAGAGCTAGACACTGACAAGGTTGTAGTATAAAGCTAGACACTGACAAGGTTGTAGTATAAAGCTAGACACTGACAAGGTTGTAGTATAGAGCTAGACACTGACAAGGTTGTAGTATAAAGCTAGGCACTGACAAGGTTGTAGTATAAAGCTAGACACTGACAAGGTTGTAGTATAAAGCTAGACACTGACAAGGTTGTAGCATAAAGCTAGACACTGACAAGGCTGTAGTATAGAGCTAGACACTGACAAGGTTGTAGCATAGAGCTAGACACTGACAAGGTTGTAGTATAGAGCTAGACACTGACAAGGTTGTAGTATAAAGCTAGACACTGACAAGGTTGTAGTATAAAGCTAGACACTGACAAGGTTGTAGTTTAAAGCTAGACACTGACAAGGTTGTAGTATAAAGCTAGACACTGACAAGGTTGTAGTATAGAGCTAGACACTGACAAGGTTGTAGTATAAAGCTAGACACTGACAAGGTTGTAGTATAAAGCTAGACACTGACAAGGTTGTAGTATAAAGCTAGACACTGACAAGGTTGTAGTATAAAGCTAGACACTGACAAGGCTGTAGTATAGAGCTAGACACTGACAAGGTTGTAGTATAAAGCTAGGCACTGACAAGGTTGTAGTATAAAGCTAGACACTGACAAGGTTGTAGTATAAAGCTAGACACTGACAAGGTTGTAGTATAAAGCTAGACACTGACAAGGTTGTAGTATAAAGCTAGACACTGACAAGGCTGTAGTATAGAGCTAGACACTGACAAGGTTGTAGTATAGAGCTAGACACTGACAAGGTTGTAGTATAAAGCTAGACACTGACAAGGTTGTAGTATAAAGCTAGACACTGACAAGGTTGTAGTATAGAGCTAGACACTGACAAGGTTGTAGTTTAAAGCTAGACACTGACAAGGTTGTAGTATAGAGCTAGACACTGACAAGGTTGTAGTATAGAGCTAGACACTGACAAGGTTGTAGTATAGAGCTAGACACTGACAAGGTTGTAGTATAAAGCTAGACACTGACAAGGTTGTAGTATAGAGCTAGACACTGACAAGGTTGTAGTATAGAGCTAGACACTGACAAGGTTGTAGTATAGAGCTAGACACTGACAAGGTTGTAGTATAGAGCTAGACACTGACAAGGTTGTAGTATAGAGCTAGACACTGACAAGGTTGTAGTATAAAGCTAGACACTGACAAGGTTGTAGTATAAAGCTAGACACTGACAAGGTTGTAGTATAGAGCTAGACACTGACAAGGTTGTAGTATAAAGCTAGACACTGACACGGTTGTAGTATAAAGCTAGACACTGACAAGGTTGTAGTATAAAGCTAGACACTGACAAGGTTGTAGTATAGAGCTAGACACTGACAAGGTTGTAGTATAAAGCTAGACACTGACAAGGTTGTAGTATAAAGCTAGGCACTGACAAGGCTGTAGTATAAAGCTAGACACTGACAAGGTTGTAGTATAGAGCTAGACACTGACAAGGTTGTAGTATAGAGCTAGACACTGACAAGGTTGTAGTATAGAGCTAGACACTGACAAGGTTGTAGTATAAAGCTAGACACTGACAAGGTTGTAGTATAGAGCTAGACACTGACAAGGTTGTAGTATAGAGCTAGACACTGACAAGGTTGTAGTATAGAGCTAGACACTGACAAGGTTGTAGTATAGAGCTAGACACTGACAAGGTTGTAGTATAGAGCTAGACACTGACAAGGTTGTAGTATAGAGCTAGACACTGACAAGGCTGTAGTATAAAGCTAGACACTGACAAGGTTGTAGTATAACGCTAGGCACTGACAAGGTTGTAGTATTTAATGTGGCGCTGCACTCTGATGTTGTAGGAGAAAACATTTATTGAAAAAGTCTATTTCATTAAGTATTTATTTAAAGTTGCGCATTTTGATGTGACGTCAAATTTCTCAACCCCCCCCCTCGTCACACATCGTCACAAATGTTTGAACCCCCCCCCCCCCCCCTAGGTGCGTGACGTCATTTATGGACGGCTCCTTGCTTGAAATCGAATTAGCTCCTCTCTGGATCTCGAGTCGCGTCCACAGAGAGGAGCTGCAAACCCATTCCGCCCACCCTCACGGTGGCGGCAGCTCCAGTAAACACAGGGAAATCCCGTACCGCATACCTAGAATCGCTGCTTACGCCTCCGTGCGTACACGGCTGCCCTCACCCCGTGCGAGTCGCTAATAAGAGGTGTGGGTCAGTTGGCAACAGTGCTGCTGCTACGTAGCGCGCGCATTTGTTCCGACTATCGCTGTAAAAGGGTGACAATCGCACGCACGTACAGAGACAGAACCCCCCCACCACCCCCACTTAGTCCCGTATAGCCTCGACAGAGTTCTGGGGCAAGGGCTGTTGGCGAGCGGCGTCTATCAATGTTGAGACGGCACAAGGAGAGGGTGGATGGCCAGCCCCACGTCCGATCGCCTTTGTCTGCCGAGTGGCGATGTTTACACACCACCGCGCCAGGTGCTCATTTGAGGCCGAGTTGACCTAGGGGAGGCCCGGGACCGGCTCAGATGTTCGTCCCCGACGCTGGCCGTGCGCGTGGAATCGATCTCGGGTCGCCGCGTCCGTTCGTACTCTCGCGCGCCCAAGCCCAGGAAACGCGCAAAACGAAACGCCTCGAGCGAGATTCAGTTCACAATTTACAACAGGACGTGCGGCACAGCAGCACGCAGTGCGTGGCGGAGGCACGCGGTGCACAGTCGCAGCAACAACGATTGCATAAAACAACCCACAGCGGTGGACCCAATAAGCACCCCCCACCAGCCCCCCACGTGTTTTGCCCCCCTCTATCTCCATTTAAGTTCTGCGGTTCCGTGAAGAGCGCGCGACGCCTTGTAACCTTGCAGCAGCGTGTTGCTACTCTCCCGCGTTGTCTGACCACCTGGCCACCAGCGCAGGGCAGGGGTGGGGGGGGAGCTGAGAGGTTTCCGGCTACGCGGTAAGTGGCTTCTGGCCCTGACCACAAAACAAAAAAAAAAAAAAAAAACCCCGCGGGCATCATAACGGTGTTGGTGGCGGCGCTGCGAGACCAACGCTCTGGCTGTGGAATTCCCCATAGAGGCCCCTGGAATTCGGACTGGTGGAGTCACTTTGAAATCAACTATTAAACCGTTTGTTTTTCATTTTACCAGGTAGTAACGCCCACTGAGCTCCTATATAACTCTTTTTCAGAGGCGGCCTGGCTGTTACAAATGATACCTCGAAGGAAGTGGCTTATCATCGCGTGGAAATTCATAGCAGCCAAACACTCTTAAACGCACGATGTTGATTCCAAATGTGGAGGGCAAAACCGGAGGGCCCGGAAAAATATCCACGCGACCACGGGGAGAGAGACACGCAAACTCCAAATATACAGCAGGCGTCAGGGTCGGTATCAAAGCCACGGGAAGCGTGTTGCTGATCGATCTTTGTTGGGTGCGTTGTTCTGAGAACCGCCAACAGTAGTCGCCACAGTTTTACACACAGGACTTCCGTAGGTCAAGTCAAAATAAATTTTTACAATTGTCTTTTGGTATTTTGTGGAAATCTTACAATTTATTTTGTAAACAAGATGTATAAATGTTGAACACGCCGGAGATGTAATTGCAATGTTTTCAGCTCAATTCACGTCACTAACTTATATATCATGCAAACCTAGAGCTTCCGAGGTTGTCTGAAAAAACACCCTCGTGGGAGAATCTCTCTTGGCCAGGGTGCAGCAGCCCTGCAATCGCCTTTCTCGCGGCACTGTCGGCAGAAGGAGCCCCTCACTCGACGGAGGGAGGGGCTCCTCCTGCAGGGCCGCAGCCAGGGTCGGAGCCAGGGGTGGTGGGTGGGGGGTGACAGTGGGGGTGACATTCTGCGTGTGTAAGTGTACGACTCTCGGTCTGGCGGACTCCGTGCAACTGCATTATCAGAGTGTGTCGCCAACCGATGGCGTCTAGTTCAACAGCCTGACTCTCTCTAAATCATTCTTGAAATTAAAAAAATTGTTGAATGTCACCCCGGTCTGAAATCCTGGCTCCGCCCCTGGCCGCAGCGACGAGAGCGACAATCGCCCCAGGTGGGATTCGTACGCAAGTCACGTGCCGACGGACCTGCAGGGACCGCCTTCGTCTTCCCCAGCGGGCGACAATTATGCAAACAAACAAAAAACATACTCTGATAATATATGCAAGGACAATGCATATATTATCAGAGTATTTTGTTGTTGTTGTTGTTTGCATTCTGACCACAAGCATTGCGGTTAATGCAGACATGATTCCTCGTGAAAGATTTCAGTTTGGTGTTTTAACATCTTAACACAACTGTTTTGTTGCCGGAAAAAAGGGGAAAAACCTATTATCATATATCGCAATGACATCGCTCCTTCCAATTTCCTTTCACGTGGGGACCAATACGCAGTGAAGTCCGTGACAACCACTTATAAAGGGCGTAGCTATCAGGTGATGCGCTCTTTCATTTACAAAAAAATATATATACGGGTGCTTATGAACGGTGGATGAGCTACTTTAGGCGGTGCCGATACTCGCTCCAGCCCTTGATGGGCTAACTCTCAGTTTTGGTCAAGAACGTAGTAATATGATTAGCTCAATCGACAAGTTAAAGAGTAAAAAGATATATGTACAAAATGCTGAACACAGTAAGAACGCGAGCAAAGTGGTTCACATCGGCCCAGGATGAGAGAGTTTTATCGCGAACGTTGTAAGATGTTGACGCCTCTCCGTAAGCGGTGCACGGAGATAACATCATTAAAAAAGATTAATCTCTTCACACGTTCATCCGGATCGCGATTACCGGCGTCACGCGGCGCGAGATCCGACGATTCGGAACGCTCGCAGAGAAGCAGCGGTGTGCGGGGATGAATTCAAATTTATTGTGGTGGTGGGAGGGGGGGGGGTTGTCACGCGTGAAGGAAGAATATCGAAGGAGGACACGAGCACATGGCTTGTCACTCCCGGCCTCCTCCTCCCCCCCCCATTCACCACTGCACAAAAACAATTTGTGTGTGGGGGGGGGGGTCATGTGGTCACGTGGTAGTGGTGTTCTCTCCTGCTTTGTAAAAAAAACTAGTTTTATATTTCGTGTTGGCACTGATTAACTAGTCGGCGTTGCGTGCCATACTGTTTGCGATCGGCCCGTGCGGCAACCTGCCGATGGCTTCCCGCACCTAGCCGCCGTGCGCTTTGGAAGCGGAAACGATCGTGACGTTTACCCGTCGACGTTCGCGCAACGTCCGCGCAACCTGCCTGGCCGCTACCACTGCACCGCCGCTACGGCGCCGACGCTACAGCACCGTCGTGGTGGCGGAGCCCTGGTTCAGGGACGTCTTGAACAGTGGAACCCTCGAGTTGCGCACGGTGCCAGTACCCGTGGTGGCCGACTGTCGCCGCAGGGGCTCCTGCGGCCACCTGCCGCGGGTGGCGGCGCGCAGGCAGGCCCGCAGCGGGGCCATGGCCTTGCGCAGGTCCTCGCGGAAGTTCTCCGACACGAAGATGTTGAGGAAGGGGTCGAGCGCGCTGTTTAGGCAGGTGAGCGCGAAGGCGACGCGATACGCCTTGCGCACCTTGATCTCGAAATCGCAGCTGCAGCCCTCCGTCACATCGCTGGCGATGGCACGCACCAGCAGCAGCACGTGGTACGGCAGGAAGGAGACCACGAAGATGGTGATGATGACGACCACGAGGCAGATGATCTTGCGCTTGCGCCGGCGCTCGACGGAGGCGCAGCGGTGCACCGTGCGGATGATGTAGCCGTAGCAGATGACGGTGATGATGAAGGGCAGCAGGAAGGCGACGAACACACGGAAGTAGGAGAGCTGCGCTACCCAGTGCTCCATCGGGTAACGCTCGTAGCAGAGCGAGCGGCTGTGGCTGTCCTTGAAGAGCTGAGGGTGCAACAGCAGGGGCAAGTTGGTGACGAGCATGAGGACCCAGACGACGGCGCAGGCGCCCCACGCGGTGCGCATCCGCCGCAGCCCGAGCGAGCGCAGCGGGTGGACGACGGCGAGGAATCGGTCGAGGGCGATGCACGACAGGAAGATGATGGTGCTGTAGTTGTTGGTGTAGAAGAAGAACCCCACCGCCTTGCAGGCCCCCTCGCCGTACGTCCACGACTCCTCGTTGGAGGTGTACGCGATCCACACGGGCAGCGTCGCGAGGTAGAGCACGTCGGAGATGCACAGGTTGAGGAGGTAGACGCCCAGCACGTTCTTCTGCTTGACGTAGAGGCGCACCAGGAGGGCGGCCACAACGTTGCCCATGATGCCGACGATGAAGACGATGGAGTAGATGACGGGGAACATCACCGTGCCGAAGTCGGGCGGGATGACGCAGCTCACTTCCTTGCAGGTGGCCATCGTGAAGGAGGCCGCAGCTGCCTGCGAAGGTGGGGGGGGAGCGGCGGTCTCAAAAGGTCAAAGCGATCTCCCGCCCCGATTAGACTTTCGAGGTCAGTGCTCGTCTCGTGTTTACGGCCCCCCGAGGCTGGTACACATCTTATCTCCCCCCCCCCCACGATGGAGCGATGATGGGCTGAGTCGACCCACCAGTTAGCCACTCGCTCTCCTGCCGTGAGCCACCATGACCGGTTATGATCGGTCGCGTCGCGTACGCACGAGGATCGGTCGCGTCCTCAGGATGATCTGTCGCGTACGCATGATGATCGGTCGCGTCGCGTACGCACGAGGATCGGTCGCGTCCTCAGGATGATCTGTCGCGTACGCATGATGATCGGTCGCGTCGCGTACGCACGAGGTTCGGTCACGTCCTCAGGATGATCTGTCGCGTACGCACGAGGTTCGGTCGCGTCGTATCGGAGCCGGGGATAGACGCTCCGCCGCCACCGCTACCACCACCAACAGCAACAGCCACCATGGCAGCCTTCGGTTTGCTTATTATAAAGTGAAGGGACCTATCTCGGCAATCTAGCATCGCTTGCCAAATCGGAATGGAAAGCACCCAAAGGCAATGGGGGGCCCTCATGGTGACGATCGTTGCTTAAATTCTCACCGAACATTCTGTGTCGCTGATCGACCGGAGTAGCTGGCGTCTGGCTCGCAGCCACAGCCGTAGCGATTGCGGGTATGTTGGATGTTGTGGTTGTGCCGGGTCCCTGACCTGCACAAATCCGGCTGAACCCTAGTTATGGGTGCAGGGGATCACGGGGGCCTGGGCGGCTAAGGCACGGTATAAGTCGAAACCGCTCTTGGGTGAAATATTAATCCTCGTCAATCCGCCGCTGGATGAAGGCCTCCTCCTGATCGCGGTCGGTCGTGGTGGATTGTTTGACTGCACGAAGCAGGGCTGCTCGTACCGTGGAGTCCCGCGTGGCTTTGGAGCAGGCGGCTCGCACAATGGGGAGAACTGAGGTGGCCAGAGAGTCGCGTTGGTAATAACGGAAGCATAATTATTTATTTAGACTGCGGGGAGGAATCCGATGAGCTAGGACGCTCTTTATCGCAGATGATGTCCAGTCGGGGTGGGTCAGCAAGTAACAACAACAAACTATTGCAAAAAAAAACCGACAGGAGCGCGAAATAGAGAAAAGTTAAACAAGTGGCGATCAATAAATGAATCTCAACAAAGTATATGCAGTTGATCATCGATTATCCGCCGTGCGATTATCCGGCTTCCAACATTATCCAGCGGTCCCGGGCCGATCCGGCGAAACCGCTCCTGAAGCTGTCACCAGTCCGGCGATCGGCACCGCGCGCGTGACTAAAAAAAGTAGCTACGCTTGATTTGAGTGTAAAATATTATATACGGTACGTGATACACTACATAAAACAACTTAAACAACGCAAATACTGCACTCAAATACATTTTTCATGACTGATAACTACAGGAATAAAAACGGAATAAATGCAGTGCGATCCGGTAAGAAAAAAGTCTACGTGATTCGGCATCAGCCCGGTGATCGTGAAACACGTGGTTGTGCTGAAACAATGTGCGTCGTGGCACGACGCACATCACCCCATGCAGAGTTTTCGAGATTGGAGTGGTAAGTACGCTACAGTAAATACGTCAACTTTTCACAGTAGGATATTTATTTGCGTCTATTTGTATGCTTATTCATGCCAATTTCACATTGTCAACGAATTTAAAACACTGAAAAATGTAACACCTAATGTGCTAGAATGTGCTAAAAAGAATCATGATGTGGTGATTATCCGGCGTTTTTGAAAACCCAGCACCCCCTTCATCCCCAAAGCCGCCAAATAGACAATCGATGATCTACTGTAAAATTCCGGCCTACTAGTCAACACCAAATGCAAGCTTGGGGCAATATGCGTTTTAGATTCATCAGATTATTTTGCTGCTATAAATGTCCAAATGATGAGCCACTTTGTTGAGCTATCATTTGTGGCCAGCTCGCTTTTGAAAAATAAATTAATACCTCAGTGGGCTTTGTCTGGTTAGGATGGGGATGGTTTAGTTTTATTTGTATGTGTTTGGGCGATTTGTGAACCCTGCTTGTACTTTGCACTCCTATCGTGTTTGTGTACTGTTACACACCCCGACTGGACGTCTGTTAAAAAGAGCTTTATAGCTCATCGGATTCCTCTCAGTATAAATAAATATTCTGATTCTCTGTAGCCACGTAAACCAACAACCTTTGGGTGGTCGGGTGGCTCTCGAGGTCAGAGCGCCGAGCCGGGAACACCGAGCTCCTGGGGTTCGAATCCGTGTCCGACGTTTCGCTCCACGGGCTGAGCAGCGCCGAATGAGTCGCTTCTTTCGCAATCGAATTGAGCAGCCCTAATTCGCTTTCTCGAAGATGGCTCCCATCCGGTGGAAGCGGGACCACCGGACATCGTGTGCCAAAGACAGCGACATGACCCCCCGGTGGACCGCTGCGGCGTCGGAGGTCGGAGGTGCTCCCGGCTCCGAGAGAGCATTGGGACGGCACGCAGCCACGACCGACAGTCCCGGACGGAGCCAGTCAGCCAGAGACGTTGGAACCATGGAAGTAGAGTTAGAGGATGCATTGAGCTGCACTGTCCTCTGCCCGATAACGTAGCAGCAGCAGTGCAGCAGACAGCAGAAACGGCAGTTGCCGCCTAAAACACCCGTGTATTGATTTACTTATGCGTGGTGGTCACCCATCCAAGCACCAGGCAGGCTCAATCCTTGCCGAGTTTCCGAGATGTGATGAGATCGGGCGAGTTCCGGGTGTTTTGGTCAGTATCCCGGCAATCTTAAGAGTCGTCAATTTCACAGGTAAATTAGTCGGTGCTGCTGCGGTGTTACCGAGCCGTGTCCAAACGCAATCAACTAAAAAAACAACTCCGACGCTTTCGGGAAATTGCATTAATTCAGGACACTAGCTTTAAAGGGAGCCACATTCTTGACCGTATTTCTTTCTGGCCTCGAGGAGGAGGGAGGGACCGCACCTATTGTTGGCTCGGCGCACACACCGCCCGCGCAGCGCCTTCGAGACAAACACACTTGTGTGCGGTTGTCTGGACAAACGCAGATAATCCTGCACGCAAGCGATAGGATAGCAAAGTGGCATTTCTTGGAAATGCGCACGTTCTAAGTACAATTAACAGCCACGTGGCGCAGTGTTAGCTTAGTTAATGTTCGTAACGTTACATATTAGTCATAGCCTTAGTCTAATAACAACGACAGCCTGCAGGATATCACGACGACTGCCCCTCCCGCTGACACTATTCCCGTGACAGATCCGATCATCGGGGTTTCTCCCCTTCGGGATGACTCAAGCCGCCAGTGTCCTCGGGCAGAGGCCGCTCCAGTCGGCTGCTTTTGACGCGTTCCCAGCCGGGTCGTTGTTGTTGTTGTTCTCCATTTCCCGGGCTCCTCCAAATAACCTTGCCGAATGACATCGGCCTGCCCTCTTAATTTCAGACGCTTTACTCTCGAACCTTTTGGTTGGGTGTAGTCATAGACATCCGCCACGTTTGGCGATCGACATCCAACCCGTGGTCACCGTGGAGCTCGTGAATTGAAGGAAAAGAAAACAGCTCGTTGACGAACGTTTTCGTGGCTAATTCAACGAACACGACCACGTTCAATTTGTGCACCCCAAACGCTGGTTTGATGTTCAAGCAGGGTACGGGTTTAATCCAGAATACAGTTTTTTTTGGGGGGGTTAGATCACGTGAATATAAATGTGTCGTTAAACCCGCCACCACCCGACACAGCCAATGAGTAAAGTTAGTCACTTAAAACATAGCGAATTCGTTAAGAGTTCAGCTCACCGGTGTGCTTGAGAGTAAATCCACCATATTTACAATCGCTTTTACGGTTTGGCCCAGGTCAGGCGTTGGGCGAGCCAAGTCATGTGTTTTGTGTGCCCTGTTTTTTTTTACTCCCATCGGATTCTTGCCATTCGCTGAATACCTTTGCGCCAAAATCCCCCCCCCCCCCCGACAGATATCTCTCCAGCGGACGGACGACACCGCGTGCCAAAGACAGAGGTGAATATGGCCGTGTTGTCTTCCTTTTCGTACGAGAGAAAACCTGGTTTCGTGGTAACCTGTCTATATACTGTACAAGGTGGGAAGTATACTGGCGCACACTAGAGATCCGTTCCACTGCTGGATCAGGGCCTACAGAGTCACGCCTGCCTGTGCGGACCCTGAGCGATATTTGACCATTCTTGCCCATGCTGACCAGCGCGAGGTTCCGCCAAAATTTGCGTAGCGCAAAGGGACGGTACACTAAATGGATGTCACCGCACTGCCCGTTTGCTACCCAGACACGGGAGCATAGGCTAGCGTCACACCTGCGTGGCAAGTTGTGCGTGGTGATCACCCTTCCAAAGAGCTATCCAGGCTCAGCGCCTGCTTAGCCTCGCACTTGCGACGAATTCTGGCGCGCACTGAGCGTGATTTGGCGATAGGCGTCTCGTATGTAAATGGACAGTGTGTGTGTGTGTGTACGTACAGGAGAGCGTCTTCAGCGTCTGTGCAAACAAAGCACAGGGTGTCCCCGTTCAAAGCGCTGTGGGGGTGGGGCAGGGATGACACACTGGTGGTCATTCCAAATTCCCATGACGGAAACCTCCGTCCCACGCAACTACCTTTCAGCCAATATGCATGACCCAAACTTGTACGCAATTAGTTGTGAGCTATGTGGGAGGGTCATTGGTCGAAACGTCGCCCAGAATATGCTTTCTTTTTTTAAGGCCACGGTGCTATTGGGGAACGTGTCGAGTTGTGTTAAATTCTAACGCTATTCTGCAGGGGTAAAATAAACAGCTGAAATTTGGCACAACCAATTAACTAGTCGAGTATGTACAGTGAGGGAAAAAAAGTATTTGATCCCCTGCTGATTTTGTACGTTTGCCCACTGACAAAGAAATGATCAGTCTATAATTTTAATGGTAGGTTTATTTAAACAGTGAGAGACAGAATAACAACAAAAAAATCCAGAAAAACGCATGTCAAAAATGTTATATATTGATTTGCATTTTAATGAGGGAAATAAGTATTTGACCCCATCTCAATCAGAAAGATTTCTGGTTCCCAGGTGTCTTTTATACAGGTAACGAGCTGAGATTAGGAGCACACTCTTAAAGGGAGTGCTCCTAATCTCAGCTTGTTACCTGTATAAAAGGCACCTGTCCACAGAAGCAATCAATCAGATTCCAAACTCTCCACCATGGCCAAGACCAAAGAGCTCTCCAAGGATGTCAGGGACAAGATTGTAGGCCTACACAAGGCTGGAATGGGCTACAAGACCATTGCCAAGCAGCTTGGTGAGAAGGTGACAACAGTTAGTGCGATTATTCGCAAATGGAAGAAACACAAAATAACTGTCAATCTCCCTCGGCCTGGGGCTCCATGCAAGATCTCACCTCGTGGAGTTGCAATGATCATGAGAACGGTGAGGAATCAGCCCAGAACTACACGGGAGGATCTTGTCAATGATCGCAAGGCAGCTGGGACCATAGTCACCAAGAAAACAATTGGTAACACACTACGCCGTGAAGGACTGAAATGCTGCAGCGCCCGCAAGGTTCCCCTGCTCAAGAAAGCACATAAACATGCCCGTCTGAAGTTTGCCAATGAACATCTGAATGATTCAGAGGACAACTGGGTGAAAGTGTTGTGGTCAGATGAGACCAAATTGGAGCTCTTTGGCATCAACTAAACTCGCCGTGTTTGGAGGAGGAGGAATGCTGCCTATGACCCCAAGAACACCATCCCCACCGTCAAACATGGAGGTGGAAACATGTATTGGGGGTGTTTTTTTCTGCTAAGGGGACAGGACAACTTCACCGCATCAAAGGGACGATGGACGGAGCCATGTACCGTCAAATCTGGGGTGAGAACCTCCTTCCCTCAGCCAGGGCATTGAAAATGGGTCGTGGATGGGTATTCCAGCATGACAATGACCCAAAATACACGGCCAAGGCAACAAAGGAGTGGCTCAAGAAGAAACACATTAAGGTCCTGGAGTGGCCTAGCCAGTCTCCAGACCTTAATCCCATAGAAAATCTGTGCAGGGAGCTGAAGGTTCGAGTTGCCAAACGTCAGCCTCGAAACCTTATTGACTTGGAAAAGATCTGCAAAGAGGAGTGGTACAAAATCCCTCCTGAGATGTGTGCAAACCTGGTGGCCAACTACAAGAAACGTCTGACCTCTGTGATTGCCAGCAAGGGTTTTGCCACCAAGTACTAAGTCATGTTTTGCAGAGGGGTCAAATACTTATTTCCCTCATTAAAATGCAAATCAATTTATAACATTTTTGACATGCGTTTTTCTGGATTTTGTTGTTATTCTGTCTCTCACTGTCCAAATAAACCTACCATTAAAATTATAGACTGATCATTTCATTGTCAGTAGGCAAACGTCCAAAATCAGCAGGGGATCAAATACTTTTTTCCCTCACTGTACATACTGACGTCGATAGGTGAGTGGAGCATTATGGACCCGGGCCACTCGTGTTCGAATCCAGCCCCACGGCGAACATCGGTGGCGTCCAGCGAGAATCTGAACCGCTCCTGGAGGGGTTACCCCCCCATCATTCACACACCAGCACTGACCAGCGTGGTGAAGTATGGTCAAACGAGCCCCTTGGCCCAGCATGGCGTGGGCGGATCGAGTAAGTCATCCAGCAGTGGATTGGCAAAGGACTGCATTTTACTATTATATATATGCCCAAACGGTACTCGAACGCGCAAATATGAAATATAAAATGTATACTCATAATTATAAAAAAATATATTTACCCTATAATTGTGCAGAAATGTGCCAGGTGCCAATCAAGTTAGACAAACCTGGCCGCACAAAAAACGAAAAGATCCCCTGTATAGCATTGACCACGCCGTGTAGCTAGCGATAACCTATGAAGGCCGGCACGGCACACGAGGAGGTGGGTGGCCAAAACCACGCTCGGCCACCTTTGTCTCCACAGTGCTGCTGTTTAATACACGCACGCGCCACGATACTCATTTCAGGCTGAGTCGACCTCGGGGAGGGGCAGAACAGGATCAGATATTCGTCACCGATATCGCCCGTGAGCGGGATTCGCACTCGGGTCACCGGGTTCATACCGCAGGGCGTAAACCACTGCACCAAAGATAAAGACAAAGATCCCCCGTATAGCCTGTAACAGACTGTTGGGGCAAGTGCTGTTAGCGAGCACCTATGAAGGCCGGAACGGCACACGAGGGGGTGGGTGGCCAGCACCACGCCCGGCCGCTTTTGTCTCCCTAGTGACGATGTTTACACACCGCACCAGGTACTCATTTGAGACTGAGTCGACCTAGGGGAGGCTCTGGTCTAGTTCAGATAATTGTCACTGGTTTTGGTCGTGAGAGGGGCTCGAACTCGGGACGCCAGATTTGTAGCGCAGCGCGCTAACCACTACACAACCCACTGCAGCACCACTCCCCCCCACACACACACGCATCCATCCACACAAAACGACCGCGTTATAAGCCGCACTCCCATAAGGGCGTCTCATAAACCGATGTGTGCCACACTCGTGTAATACGTTACCCAAAACGTCAGTTGCTGCAAGACGACCACTCTTGAGTTAACCAGCGTCGCTCGCTCTCTACGGAGTCGTTTCAAGTCGGCGGATGAAGGAACGATCACCCCCCCCCTCCACCCCAATCGCGCACCTCTCCACACGCGCACCGAGGAGGTCACCTCGCCCGTGTTTGAACTCAGCTCCTCCAAAGAGACTGAGCCAATCAACTGCTGCTGCTTTCCGTCGAAGATGAATTCTCGTGCGAAGAGTTTCCCATTCAATGGCTCCGTCTCTCCCTGCTTCCTCCTGCCTGCAGCGAGGGCGGACGCCAGCACGCGCACTCTCCGAGTGTCCACGAGCTGGGGATCTCGTGCCGTGTGTGTGTGCGGGGTAAATAAAGTAACGTGTGGTGGCTGGGTTCTCTCTCTCACTACCCACCCCCACACTCCTCTTCCACTGTCTTGGCCAATCCTTTGGTGTGCCCCCCCCCACCTACCATCTCTGTCTGTCACCGGCAGCCCTTTTTTATTACAATATTTTTTTATTGAACTTGCCTTGTTGTCTGTGAATATGCTTTCAAATCTTTGACGTTTAATATCCTCGGATCTACGAAGCCTAACGAGCTGAAATGTTCTACACAGACTCGTCTCGCGTGACAATTCAAGATTTCATTAAAAAAAAACCGGTACAGGTCCCGACAATCCTACGCCTATTCGTGTTTTCGACTTATTTTTTTTCGTTATTACTGTTGACAATTTCCAGCCAATGTTGGCCGTTGGCGCGCGTGTTAAGTCGCTTTGTTAATTTCGCTTGGGCAGCACCGATGCCCACGCAGTAGCTCGGGACTGAAAGGGGTTAATGCAATAGCTTTGTCCGGTCTGTCAGTCCTAACAATACGAACGGGACTTTATTGTAAAGTTGCGGCACCTCCGATTGGCACGGTCGGCAAACGTACGATGCGAAGGAGGTTCGACATACATACAAAGTTGTGTTGCCGCTAGGGACTGACTCTAGGAAGGGGGAAAAAAAAACTTCCAAACTGTATTTAAGAATAAACCGATTATTTGATTGTACTGCGTTGGTAGTGGTGTGCAAATACAAACAAACTCAACACATTCGCCAAGAAACAACTGTGGCCTTAAAATGGACAAAAAAACATAACAGTCAACGTCTTGGGGCAATGTTACCTCTCTGCACGATAGCGCGTGCAACTGATCACAAGGTTGCCCAAAACGCGGAGACACAAACTCGGGGGCAGGTGTGGCTGTCTCACGCCCGTGACCTGTAGACATTGCTCGGGACATCTCGTTGACGACGCCTGTTGCATGCACGCGGCGTTCACAGAGGCCACGCGTGCGCACGGCTTTTCTTCCTTGGTTGTTGACATCGGCTGGGTGTGAACAAGTTGCCGAATGCTAACCACCCTTCCCACACACATCCCCCCCCCCACCCCTCTCCCCACACATCCCCCCACACATCCCCCCACCCTCGTCTCGACCCTGCGGGGAGTGTGCTTTTGAATAACACAGCGCGCGTAGAGAAACTGGTCCAGCCAGTTCGGAGCTCACGCGGGCTCTGCGGGTCGCAATTAACAACTGTGCAAGATTGGACGCGGCTATTGAGTTTGAAGAGCATCACAATGGGTTGTGTGTCGGTGTGGCGCCTTCAGTGATGCTACTCTGCGACCGTCATCCAATCAATCCACTGCTCGATGACTAGAATCATCGACGCATACCCATGAAGATGCCACGATCCAGCTGCCGCACGTGAGCTGATCGTATCGCACTGTCCTCACGGTTTCAGGCGCACCCGTCCAGAAGCACCGGCGTGCTTTCCTGCTTTGGCTACTTCAGGGTGAGTCGCGAGTTGGGGAAGTTTGGAAAAACCCATTCTCGTCTAGGCCACAGAGCCACAGTTGCACTTGGTGGCTCTGCTGCACAGCCAATGAGCACGGTTGGCTACGCACCGTGCGAAAGAAGTCCAACATACGTGCATACACGTGCATACACGTGGACTGCAGTCTATCACTGGAGGCAGTAGCAAGGATTGGTGGATCGGACAAACAACAGAATGCACTACAGCAGCAGAACGTGAACTCATATGTCCCGTCTATACGGGATAGAGTGTTGTCCCCTCGCATGCATGACTTTGTTTTGCCACCGGGTGCGCAGGTTTCCTCTCACGTGTATAATAAACACAACTCAATTGGCTGGAAAAAAAAACAAACATCTTAATGTATTGAGAAGTGAGGGGAAACTGTTTTGTAGTGGCGACCTGGCAGCTTTCCTGTTCGCGTCTGCGGTTCCTCCTCGGCGATTATCAGATGCGATTTGCACGAAGCGACAACACGAATACTGTAGATTAAAAAAAATAAACTAATGATTCGATGTATGTTTAAAGACAGTGGAACGCACCGAGGTGACGGGGCTGGCCTCTCAACAAAAATCAAAATGTAAACGCCAGAGACTTGTTTTTGCGTTTGTTTGCGGCGAACGCGCAAAAGGAAGCAAAACGACAGACTTCATAAAGTCGTGCTTGTTGTAAAGAGCGCGACTCCCGCAGCTACACGCCCAGAGGACACGAGCTCACCGATTGTCCAGTCGGAGTGGAAATGTTCATTAACAAGAGGTTGGTGGGGGGGGAATGATATCACGTGACTTTCCAGCACGCGGCAGTGACGTCACTGCACGTGGCCCGGCCGGATCCCTACAAGTCGGGACGATTCCTCTGTCCGCCTCGTGCTCGGGGAACTTGAGAGAGAGAGAGATCGAGACAACGATTGTCTCATTTGCAAGAATGACCCTGGGGGAATGGCCCTTCATCATTGATGCGCTATGAAAGAAGAGCCATTGTCCGAAACGTTTGCCATTTTTTTTAATTGCCATTTGTTACTGACGGATGTGTTGAGTTTTGTTGTCATTTGTGCTTTTGGACAATTGGCCAACTCAGCAGCAGCAGCAGTACCAAGTATAATCACTGCGAGATAACACATCTTCAAACGCCATTCATGGGGTGGAGGGGTGGGGGGTGATTGATTGGTGCTATCTGAATCGGGCCACTGACGTTAGCCGTGGCCGAGAATCGAGCTCCGGTGACCGGGGTTCATGTCGAAATACGCCAACCATTGCGCTACCGCTCCCTACGCCTATTGCACGTTTGTATGTATGTTGAACTTGTTTCGGATCGTACGTAGCCAACCTTGCTGATTAGCACCGTTCACTGCTTGCGTGGAGAAGGAAACAATGTAGGTGAGATCAGCACTGCCTGGCGTCACAGCACCTCCTGGCGTCACAACACCGCCTGGCGTCACAACACCGCCTGGCATCCCAACACCGCCTGGCGTCACAGCACCTCCTGGCGTCACAACACCGCCTGGCGTCACAACACCGCCTGGCGTCCCAACACCGCCTGGCGTCACAACACTGCCTGGCGTCCCAACACTGCCCGGCGTCACAACACTGCCCGGCGTCCCAACACCGCCTGGCGTCACAACACTGCCTGGCGTCACAGCACCGCCTGGCGTCACAGCACCGCCTGGCGTCACAGCACCTCCTGGCGTCACAACACTGCCTGGCGTCCCAACACTGCCTGGCGTCACAGCACTGCCTGGCGTCCCAACACCGCCTGGCATCACAGCACCGCCTGGCGTCACAGCACCGCCTGGCGTCACAACACCGCCTGGCGTCACAACACTGGGTGCGTAAATATTCACGGTCGGTGACACCCACAGCGAGAGAGAGAGAGAAGTCGCCAGCCTGGACTTGATTAACTGGGTTTTTTTTTAAACAATTTATAAAAGCTCCTACTGCCGTAAATATTACCTTGGGTCGGCAGAAAATGGAATGAGCCAGAGCTTGGCGTGAGTGGAAGCTCGGTCCACATTGTTTATAAATCTATAGTCTACACGCTGTGCACTACAGTCTATTCTTAGTAGTTCTTAACCTTTTACTTGCAGCCTTGCACCCCTGTGGTTCTCAACCGTAAAACATACTGTAAATATGTTAATAAATACACAGGGGTTTGATGAAACAAAGTAGTTGTACGTACGTGCCCGTGCTTTGTTTATCGATGATTTACCTCCTAATAAAATCTGGCCACGTCTCGCACCCCCAGGTTAAGAGCCACCGCTCTCTACAGTCTACACGTCTGGAATACCCCAAGATCGACCCAGATCAGACTCCGCAAAAAAGTATCCGTCATACATCTGTGTCTCCACAATAAACCTGACATTGCTGGTGAGATACAGTTTCCTTTTTGCAGTGAATCAATGCCCTCGGCTCTGTGGGTTGTTGTAGCTCTTCTGCTGCTGCTGCTGCACGTGGCCTGTAATTCAGCACTGTGGAGCCAGGTAGCTAGATCACCAGATCTCACGCGTTACCGCGTCGCTTACTTAATTCACTTCGTAACTAATTATAAGATGTAATTACACCTTCATACAATTAAGGATAGGCGATTTTCTCCGGCCAATAGATTCATCTTATTCAACTCACCTGCCAATCACAACCAGTCCACCAGTAATCGACGCCAATTGTTGAACAAGTTCACGTGCATAGCTGTGCGGGAAGCCCATTGCACGCGAGAGCTGAACTCTTGTTGACGCCTGATGATGCCGGGTGTAATCTCGCGCGAAACGTCGAATAAAATTGTCAGAAATGTTGCTTCTTTTGTTCAACGTTCCTCCACCGGCTTACTGAAGGAAAAAAAAACAATTGACATATTTGCCCACGTGACAAAATGTGTTGAATAGCTCAGTCGGGTGGTGGAGGGCTATCATCAAAATAATTGATATTATACACAAGATCCGACCCAAAAACGACCTAATGATGAATCATAACAGTAAGCGTGATAGCCTACGGAGTCAAATAAACAAAATTAACTGAAAAAGATAATCTCACCTGTGTCACCGATTGGGAGGTGGCTGGGTGTGGCTTGGTGACATAATCAGCATCATATCATTGGGCTTGGCTTGCGATTTGGGGGGTTTCCTGCCTTCAGGGATGAGGCAGGATGTGGGAACTCCCGAGTCATTACCCGAGGAGTACGAACGTCGTAGGCGCTAACCAGACGACCGAAGAATGTTCCGTGTATGTGTGCGAAACGTATGGTATGTTGATTCTTGGACTTCGTATATATTTCGCAGAGAAGTATTTGGGTTTGAAAGAAAAAAAACTTTCATTATTTTAGTGTTTCAACCACCGTTCTTGTCATCGCATTCCAAACCTCCCTTGCAAAACAAACGCCCCAAAAAATGTTGACATTATACATAACGACTGCACAAGCGTGTAATAAAGCTCACCGTTTACTCCCAGGAGAAATAAGGCTGTATTTACATATATATGTTTTTTTTCTCGGAAACGGCCAAATGTAGTAATGGGGATGTGTTATTTTTCCCTGGCTCATCTAAACCACACATGTGCCCGCCTATGAGTGTCGACGAGAGGGCATTTTTTGTTGTTGTTATTCCACGTTTATCTCCCCCACACCCCCAACTCAATTTTACTCACTGCGGGAAAAGCCCACGGTGTGGCTTCAGTGTTCAGTGTGGGTGTGAGCCCAGAGAGAAGGGAACACAGCGGCCATGCAGCTGTTATAACTCTGCACCTCTCCCACGTGAACGGAAGGGAGCGCTAACGTCGACTTATTAAAATCCTTCGCGTAGGCCTCGGCAAGGTAAGGGGGGGCGGGGTCAGACATTTGTGACGATGGGGGGAAGGGGGGGGTTGAGAAATGTGACGTCACATCAAAATTCGCAACTTTAAATATAGACAACGCGTTCTACTTAACTAAATAGACTTTTTAATAAATGATTTCTCCGAGAACATCAGAGCGCAGCGCCACATTAAATACGCACTACAATGAAAATAGTTTAAAGCGATTTGAAGCATGTTTTATTTTCAAAATGGAAATATGGTTTTTTTGGGAGGGGGGGGCAAATCGCGTGACGTCATTTATGGACGGCCCCTAAGGTAATTTACCATTTTTACCGGGTAAAAGGGTAAAGGTGTCGACATGCCAAGGGGTAAGGTAAAGGGTAAAGGTAGCGCGAAGTATTACCCGGTAAACACCATGTTTACCATAAACACCTTGTTTACCACTCGCTAAAAGCTCCGTGGCGCAGTCCGTGGCCTCCATTTAAAATTGGAATCATCGAGAGTCTTCTATACCGAGACTTGGATTCTTGTCTTGCATTAATACACGGCCTACGCGGAGGGTGGGGGGGGGTGTGACGTCAGCAGGCACACTGCGTGACCCTGCCGCATGCGGGTTACATCACAGATGTGACGTCACCGCTCATTTGCCGTGCAAAATATATCCATTATTGCGCCCCCCCCCCCCCAAATACAAAAGTATGTTTTTATACTTTTTGCATTGTGTACAGTCTGGAAGCTGCCCACATGCCAAATTTCAAGTTTGTTGCATGTTGGGAAGTATGCTAAACATTTCAAACAGACACACACATTCACAAATGTCCCTTTTATATATATAGACTAGCTGTACTACCCGGCTTCGCCCGGGACTTGGATTCACCACGGCCGGCCGCCTTTGCCTCTCCAGTGGTGATGTTCACATACCACACTAGTTAATAGTTTGAGGCCGAGTCGACCTAGGGGAGGCCCAGAACCGGTTCAAATAATCGTCACCGGTGGTGGCCGTGAGCGAGAATCCAACTCGGGTCGCCGGGTTCGAAGCGTGGCGCTAAGCACTACACTACAATGCGTTACGCTTCCACACAGCCACAGACAGACACACAGACACACACACAGACACATACACAGCGCGCTACCCACTACACTACAATGCGTTACGCTTCCACATGCGCGGGTCACATGACAGATTTGACGTCACAGCTCACTTGGCGTGCAAAAAATAAAAGCATTATTGAGCTCCCCCCCCCAAAAAAAGTGTTTTTTTTATCATGTTTGCATGGTGTACAGTCTGGAGAGTACCCACATGGCAAATTTCCAGTTTGTTGCATGTCGGGAAGTAGGCTAAACATTTTGAACATAAAAAACATATTCACAACTTTGCCTTTTATATATATGGAGATAAATATAGCGCTCTACCTAGCATTTACCTGTTATAAACCTTTTTCATGTGTAGTACCCCAGTAATTACCCTGTAATCGGGTAATTTGTATGGGGTAAGGATAAAAGGTAAAGGTAGGCTCGTTGCTTTTTACCTTTTACCTTGCTAAAGGGTTAAAGGTAAGGGTAGAGTGATTGTATTGTGGTAAGGTAAAAGGTAGGATAAAGGTAGGCTCGTTGTTTTGACCTTTCACCTTGCCGAGGCCTACCTTCGCGGGCTCTCTTTTTGTTTGTCCACGAGCCCCTCTGACCTAATATTTCACTTGTGCGTACCGACGGATAGATGGGATAGAGTGTTGTCCCCTCGCACACATGGGCTTCTGAGGGTGCGGCAGTTTTAATCCCACACGTGGATATTAATTGACCGATACATTAATATATCGAGGATCGCAGAGCTTGGGGGGGGGGGGGGGGGGGTAGAGAGCAATTTCTTATTTTGATTTCCGACGTTTAACTCCTCGTGCTGGCATGTGTCTGGCCTGGATCTGGATTCGAACCCAGGAAACTCAGCGGTGCGAGCTCAATGGTCTGTCTGACCTCTGAGCCACCTCGGTCACATCGAGGATTAGCGCTTTGAAATGCAATCACATCTCAATTTAACATCTGTTCTGGAAAACAAACAATTGTCCATGTAACCCACACTGGTTGCACTTATTGCATCGTCTCTCCGCAGATGGCCTCATAATGAACTTCATAATTCACTCACTTTGATCCACTTAATCCTCCTGCTCTCAATACAGTTGTAATCTGAGAGCAAACGAGCATCTGTGGGTTATCGAACATCTTCTAGGACACCGCTTCGGTTATGAGACCATTTTGCAAGATTACGTTTAATGTATTGGAAGCTTATGACCAAGTATACTGTTAGTTTTGTGGTCGTCCCTCCGTGATCCAGTGAACAAATGCTTCACTTAAATATTATAATAGTCACAGTTTATAACGTGCACATACTTCGTGCATCGTACTCAATGTTTGATTGAGGCGTGGAACTAGAGCTCAAACTCCCTCGTACGTCAGTCTGAACAGGTGAGAGCCTGGACATGTTAGAGCATGGACAGGTGAGTCTGGACGGGTGAGGACATGAACAGGTAAGAGCGTCAACAGGTGAGAGTCTGGACAGGTGAGGGCACGTACAGGTAAAGGCCTCGACAGATGAGAGCCTGGATAGGTGAGGGCTTGAACAGGTGAGAGCCTGGACAGGTGAGGGCTTGAACAGATGAGAGGCTGGAGAGGGTGAGGGCCTGGACAGGTGAGGGCCTGGACAGGTGAGGGCCTGGACAGGTGATTGTTGCCATCGTGTATTCGTACAATATAAAACAATTATAATGAACAAATCATCACATCGGTCGCGGAAGCGTCATTGTGTTTGTAAACTAAGCACACAACTCGACACAATTGTTAAAACCGCTGGCAAAGTGAGCAGTAGAGTTTATCAGGACCAGACAGGCACAATGTGCATATAAATATGGGCTGGAATGTTCCATTTTGGGAAAACAAACAAACAGCAGTTGTAATTGGATTACACGAATTAAAAAAAAAACAAATGAGTATACTATAAACAGTAAGTACACAAATGAAAGTAAAGTATGTCATGCAAATAAATGCTCGGTGATTGTTTTTTTACCCACGTGATTCACATTCGAATAAGGGAAAGAAAATGCCCATCTTATCCGAAAACAACACGCCGTGTCGCAGCGTCTGCAGGGGGCCATCTGGGCTTCTTCTCTTAGTATTTGCCCAGGAGAGCCCGACTCACTCAAGTCTCAAGTTTTTGCAGCAGGGGGCGATGGCAGCTGCTATTGCAAACGAGTACATCTATCTACCGGTGATATCTGCATATTCGCATACCTGTCAACCCCTTATCAGTGCCTACCCTATTATAGACCAGACCTTACTGGTCACCCCGTGCCCTTATAAATCTCAACGTCCATCCTACAAAGTCCCATCACAAGGGAGAAACACAAACAAATACACAAAAATATATTCTGCCCGTATTGAAACGGCTGTACGCCGTACGAACCTGAAAACTCAATTTCCCTGTAGAAGAATCCGGGGTAAACCGTATGGGTTGACAGGTGTGCACTCGGCGAATGTGGACCGTTACACGGCCACACGATGGCCGAGCCTTTGCGAACGACCCCGCGGGATCCCTTCACCTCCACCGTGCAGCGGACGGCGCGCAGAGCCGCTGCGGCTATAGCGCCCCGAGGCGGCCGCTCCGTTTGCGACAGCGCGAATCTCTGCAGCGAGCGCGCGGCCGCTTGGCCAACGCGTCCACCGCTCTCGAGTTGCCGATTTGACGGCATTCCTGAACGTTCTGACCACAGTTCCTCGTCCCCTTCTTTGGACTTGGCGGTATCCATGCCGTCGCGTGCCCGTGTAGAAATGTATCTTGGCGCTAACAAAAGTGACGGCGGCAGATGTCACGTGACACCGAACCAAAAAAAACCCCGGCGAAGCGATGTCATGTTTGTGAACGCATTGGTGATACTATAATCATAATATAGTTTTTTTTTGGGGGGGGGGGTGGTTATTTCTCACAAATGTGTCGTTAAACCGACCACCACCCGACACAGCCAATTAGTAAGGTTTGTCACGTAAACAAAACATACTAATTCGTTACTAGTACAGCACACTGCTGTGTTGGAAAGTAAACCCACAACATTTACAATTCGAGTACGAGATTTCGCCAGTAATTACAACTAGCATCATCAGGCGGCAGCCCGAGTTGTGGACACATCCTCCTGTTTCGGTCTTAAATAGAGGGATACATGTGATGTCGTCACTTGTGAGCGAGCCAATCAGGTGCGAGGGCCAGAGGAGTGGGGGCGGGGTTAATGTCTACATATCAATTACAATGGATATCCCATTATTTATAGCGTAATTAACATACTTTATGCGTGTATATTATGCATGAACGCCATGCGTGTACATCCTTTCCGTTTTTGGGTGCAAGAAATCGCAATACTTGTTATTGTCTGCTCAGTTAATCACTATTGACGTATAGGGAACTGTATCGGCATGCAGTTAAACAGTGTGGTATTACTTGATAATTCGTTTTCAAGCAGCACTGCGCCTGTAGCTATCAGAACGGTTAAAATTAATTTGTGGCCAGGTCGCGTCTAGTTGATACTGCCGCAAATAACGAAAAAAAAACATTCGTCAATGACAGTGCGTGGCCTTAAACATTTGAAGTATATAACAGGCGACGTTTCAGACAATGACCCTTCACAGTACATAGCGATGTCAGAGAGGTGGGAGAGTTCAACGTCTGTGTATATATAAGTATATTTTACCAGGTAAGGTCCACTGAGTTATATAGCTCTTTCGAAGAAGCGACTTGGCCACAAATGACAGCTCAACGAAGTGGCTTATCACGTAAAAGTGGAAATCAGCAGCAAAACACTCTGAACGCACGGTTTCTAAATGTGGAGCGGAGAACACGCAGAAAAATCCACGCCACTACGGGGAGAGAGAGAGACATGCAAACTTAAAATATACAACAGGCATCAGGGTCGGGATTGAACCCACGACGTCCAGCATACAACGCTAGGTACTAAACAACTCGCCACCGTCTGGTGTTTTTGGTTAGCGACACCCGCGCGTAACACGTGATATAGGCAGCAGAGGGCAGCCATTAGTCCACTGCACTTACATGCTCCCCACGTCTGCGCCTCCCCCCCCCGTCTTCATCAACGCAGCCAGCACTGTCTTCTTTGATTTGCCAGAACCGATTTGCACCGCGGTGGAAATTATTTTTGGCAGTATTTTTTTCAATTCCTCAGCTTTCTGTCCTGATTTGCTTTTGTCATTTTGGTGACCCCCCCCCCCCCACGCAGCCCAGCCACTCAGGCAAATACGACTCAACCATGGCCCCGATAATTCTCATCCACGGTCAAACTTATTGAGCAGTTGCAGGACCGCAAACTTTGTCGAAATAGCGGAGCCGGTTTGAAACGAACGCGCGTCGCTCACAATGCTGCGACGTTGGACTGAATGACGGACGTGAGGTTGGTCTGCGACACGCGGAACACCGTGGTGACGCTCTGCGATCGCGACGACTGGCTCATGTTCTGCATCGACGAGCTCCGCAAGAAGGCGGCGACGCGGCGCAGGATCTGCGAGGCCCTCTCCCGATACATCTTCCCGAGGAAGACGTAGATGAGCGGGTTGAGGCAGCTGTTGGCGTAACCCACTACCGTGAGGATCTGGACGCCGGCCTCGATGGCCTCCGTGGCGTCGCAGCCCGTGATGACATCGCGTCGAATGAGGAAATCGAGGAAGAGGAAGAAGTGGACGGGCATCCAGCAGATGAAGAAGGCGAGCACCATGACGCACATGAGCACGGTCACCCTCTTCTCGTTCTGCCTCGTCTTCTGGAAGGACCTGCGCAACTCCTGGACGATGTGCCACGCGCAGAACAGCATGACGCCGAGGGGCAGGAGGAAGCCGGCGACGTTGAGGAAGGCGTAGTTGGCCATCAGCCAGCCCGTGTTCGCCTGGTTGACGCACGCCGTGATGTTGTACTCCTTGAGGAAGAGCGTGCCGCGGAACACGAACACGGGCAAGCTGAAGACGGCCGTGGCGGCCCACACGAGTAGGCAGACGCGGCGCGCGCACGACCGAGTCCGTCGCAGGCCCAGCGACATGGGCTTCGCGACGGCGAAGTAGCGCTCGACGCTGATGGCCGTCAGGAAGTAGACGCTGCCGTACATGTTGACGTACACGAGGCCTCCGACGGCGCGGCACAGCGCGTCGCCGAACGGCCAGTCGTATTTGCGCGTGATGTTGATGGCCCACAGCGGCAGCGTGCAAACGAAGAGGAGGTCGGCGCAGGCCAGGTTCAGCAGGTAGATCTCCGCCGCCGTGCGCTTGGTGGCCTGCAGGCAGAGCACCAGGATGACGGAGAGGTTGCCGACGACGCCCAGCGCCAGGATGACGTAGTACGCGGCGGGGACGAACACGTAGATGGAGTCCCAGATGGTGGTCGCGTTGCAGAACTTTTCGGCGTCGAGGGTGAGGTTCACGGGGCAGGGGGCGACGTCGCAGACGGCGCTCGCGTTGAGGCCGCCGTGCGCGCTCGCCGTCGGGGTGGAGCTGGCGAGGTCCATCGCGGGACCTGGCGTGGCGGATTGCCCGCACGCACACACGCACACACGCACCCACACGCGCTGTGTCAACGTCGTTGCCAACGAAACTTAACTCAAGCCCTTTGTCAAATCACTGATGGATGACGGCCTCCAGTTGCCGTGTCAGTCATGTCATGGTGGGGGGAGAGTTGTTTAACCATACTCACCACTCTGGTTGGTGAATGATGTTGGCCATGACATGATCAGATATCACCTGCCACTGATGTTAGCCGTAGCTGGGAATCGAACTCATGTGGCCGATTGCAGTGCGTTAACCACTGCCTCCACTACTCCACCTCCGGTTTCTGATTAGCATACCAATGTTGTACACGGTACATCAATTCGTGTTATGTGTTTAGTGCATAGAATATTTATTTATTTAATGACCTTCATGTAACCGTACCCAAACTCATCATCTGTTGCCGTGGTACATTGAGCGTAAAACGCATTCATAAGCAGAATAAGCGCTCCGTGTCTTCACACCACGTTAATATAAAATGCTCGCGTGTTGGTCCGTGAGCGTCTTTCCTTTCCATTCCGATATTTTCCGGCATCGTTTGTTTTAAGCAAGCACACTCTGGACCGGCTTTGACCTTCTGGGTCTCATCAGCAGTCAAGGCCTGTTAAACCAATGCTGCTGGATCACCAGGCGTTATGGGCAAGGGCACTCCATATTAAATTCTTCCTCGTTCAACTGAATAAAAGAAAAACGCATCTGTATTGCCTGGTGAAAGCCTGCTAAAGCGCAGTCTATCTTCAAACGGAGATCAATAAATAGGGAGGATTCAAAATTGAAATTGAACCAACACAGAACTGAAACACATGGCGAGAACGACGTAGACCGTGGCAACAGATTCAGTCCTGACTCAGTTCCGCGACTAACGTGGACGAAGCCAGACGAACAAACTTGTAAGGCGATGGGTTTATTCTCACATTTAGTTTGTGTCCTCCAATGAGCGCGAAAGAAGTTCACGCGCATACCTTGTTTGTTAATACACAAACGTGGCCGAGTCTCAAGACTGACTTGAAAGAGGGCCCTTTGCCACGTTGTGATTTTTTTTTTACAGAAATCCTATCGAAGTGAACATCGGGAATAATGTAAATAGTCATTTTCAAAAGTTAAATGAATAATAGTTGCTTAAACAAAAACAAAGATGTTTTCACGAAATTTTCAGTGAGAGTCATTGTGGGAAATGTGAATATGACATCAAATTCGTTCTTCTCGTATGCGCCTGTTGTACGCTGGTGGGTTGTGTTAAACTAGATACATGTGGGTAAGGAAGCGATATTTATTTTAGTAATGATAGTCATTATTATATTATACGTATCATTTAGTTAATGTACAATGCGCCTCTCATTGAGGATTTCAGAGCACCGTATACAAGACCCAGCAGCAAACGCTTGGCGTGAACCATAACTCATGGAAACTAAAATGCAACGGCAGTTTAATTAAATGAATGCTAAAACCCATTCGCTGAATGAGCTAAACGTCCAATAAACCTAAGTGTGTGAATACATTAATAGACGAGTGGGAATATTTATTTATTTAAAAGGTAATTAATACTTTCTTCAATTAATACTTAATACTTGCTTCATACGGAAAAAAAAATCATCTTCTTCACAAAGCATGATGAAGACCAAGTTATGTATGGCTACGTGGCCACATGGTTTGTTCAATTTTATTTGATATTGCCACAATTCGTGCAAGAAATCGCTGGTGGTCCCCATCATCAACCACTTCTGAACGGTGAACGCCTCTGCTACACGCGGGGCATTATTAACTCGAAACTATGTATAGATATTTAATTGTACCAGGAAAGGCCCGCTCAGCGACACGGCTCTTTTCTTTCAGACGCGAACTGGCCACAATTGATCGCTCAACGAAGCGGCTTGTCGTGTTGAAATGTGCGGCAGCCAAACGCTCCGAACACGTGTTTCTAAACGTGGAGGGGACAAAAAAAACCTGGAGGAGCCAGGACAAAACTCCACGCGAGCACGGGGAGAGAGAGAGAGAGCGCGCGAACATGCAAAACTCCAAATACGCATGCATCGTCAAGGTCGGAATCGAACCCACGACCTCCTTCATAGCAGGAGATAACAACTCGCCACTGCGCTGCCCGATTAACGATGACCCCTCCACACAGTGTAGAGACTACGGTCATCAGAACCAGAGAGTGGACTCAATCGCCAACATCTGGACCCTGCGACCGTTCTCCGTCGGATTCGACAGCGGCAGTCGCGCCACTAGCCGGAGCGATGACCGCATGGCTCGCACTGCAATCTTACGCGCTCGTTTGCCATTTCGCCAGAAGAGGAATCATTCATACAATCGCCTCTCAAAACGCTGTGCAATAATTGTGCGCGGTCACCCATCAAAGAAGGGACCGATCCCCCAAAAAGAGAGAAGTTGTGAAAGGCGTTAATCAGTGCAAGCGACTAACGCAATTATCGCATGAATATAAGTCAGCAAGTATATGCGAAAATACGTATTTGTTGTAATAATTGGCGAGGGAGAACGTTCAGATTCTCACACCAGGCGAGGGCATCCGCCAGAATCCTGCTCCCGGCTCCGCTGCGTCGGGAGATGGTGTGTGGGAGTTGTGTGGGAGATTGATGGCCCCAACCCGCAATATGAAGATTGTCAATGCGATAACGCACATTTCGTTCCCCCCTTCTAAATTAACCCCTCCCCCCACCTCCGCGCCCCCAAGCGCGTGCACGAAATGCATCCTCGCTCGGATCAAAAGATGCAAATCTGAGTTTTCAAAAATGTCCACGACGCGTTTACGGGCGACCCGGATTCATCAGCGGAGCGCCGCGAGACGCCGCGCGCTCCCGGCACCGCGGCTGCGTGCAGGCCTTGAACTCACAACTCACCTCCGATGATGATGGTGATGGTGGTGATGATGATGATGAAAATCAAATTCTCTGCCTCTCTCTTTGCCGTCTCTGCCGTCTCTTCCCCTCTCTCTTCTTTCCTCGCTCACTCACTTGACCAGGGTAACGCTGCTTATCTGGGGCGCGTAAAGTGATCGCTGCATGAATGGCCTCTTGGTTAAGTGCGATCACGCGTCATCCTTAGCGGGGGTGGCGGGGGGTGGTGGTGGGGGGGGGGTATAACCCCTCCTCCCTGCACCCCAACCCCCCGGCCACAACTCTGGGGTTCCGCCCCGGGCCAGCTTCCGACGGTGTCCAGATTGGGAAACTTAAACAAGTGGTGGATTGTTTCGCTTGAGCTATTTGCCGAATTGCGACCGCAGCTTGTAACCATGTTTGCATAGAATATTTTTTTTTATTTTTCCGCCCTGAAAAAAGTGTTATCCGCGTGCATTTTACATGTGCTTATAAACAAAACAAAATAGTGGTTGGTTCAGAAGCACGGTCGTGACTACACGATATGTATGCACACGAGCAGACACCGACAGAGTGCGCAAGGCAAGAGGCGGCAAGAGCTGGGAAGCACACGCAGAGACAAAAACGGGAACGCATGGATTAGACAGTAGCAAAGACAGTAAGTGGGTCGATGAGACAATTCAAACTGCGTAGACGGGAAACGTCGCGAAAGCCCGAAAGGGCGATGGGCAAGGGAAATTGAGGACGTCCACCGGGGAGGTCGAACGACGAAATCCGTTTGCGCGCAAGTGCTTTGTGGGTTATTACATTGCAGGTTCCCGAGAGGTGGTGATGGCTTGGGAGATGTCTTCGTCTAACAGTGGATAGACCATGTCACCTCCGATTAGCACGGGTTTGCTTCGTACAATGCGAAAGTAGTTCAACACATACACACACATGCATGGTAGGTATATTTCAGTGGTTGTGGTGGCGCTGACCAATTGCGTGCCCGAAGCAGAAACTAAAATTTGGGGTCCACCTGACATTTCAATTTAAAAACTACATGCAGCGAGACTGCATAAGATGTCGAGACAAAGGGGTATAGGTGTGCCAACAATGTTGGGCAAAATATATCGGTATTATCAGCTGAGAGAAGAGAGATACCGATGGGGCAGAGAGGTAGGTGAGATGGTTGTCTTGGAAGGTCGGTGGTGGCGGGCCGTGTCGGGTGGCGGCGGGTTTAACGACACATTTATATATTTACGAGATCTCACCCCCCCAAAAACCACTCTATTACGGATGATATTGGTCACGAAAGCCTGCTACGTGTTCAGCTGAGATGGATGCAACGTTCAGAGACGGACGTAGTGAGACTAAGAGAAGAAGGCTCGATTAGCCTGTTAAATTAATTGACCAGTTTAAGTTCATGGGGAGCTGATTGCGACGGTCCCCTTGAGCTGCTTAGGTGGGGCGCCTATGATATTTGCTGAGCTCGCTTCGGCCCTCGCGGCCACCACACCGCGGTCCGCTTCGGCTGACACCTCGAGACCCTTCGCTGGCGATTTCCACCCGCAGCTCCGCAGCGAGTCGAGCGTCGTGCGCGCGTTTCCTAAGGTCATCAATCCGCCTCGACGCTCGGTTTACGAAGCGCGGTCGCTTCCTATCAATAACGTTGTCAAAACACGGACGTTGATGGGGGGGCTTTAGGGGGAGGGGTATCCTGGATGAGTGTCGACACAGCGCTGTGCTACTCTCGCTGCCGTCGAGTGGGCATTTTGGAATTTGCTCGAAACTAAACAAGCGCGCCTTGTGTGCGTGTGTGTATACGCGTGTGTGCGTGTGCGTCCGTGTGTGTGTGTATACGTGTGTGTGTGTGTGCGCGCGCGCGTGCGTGGCCATGCAAAGCGATTGCTTGTGCGCCCTTAGACGCGGTTTTCTGTTTAAATCTGTGAAAGCAAAAATAACCGAACAGTTTTGAGTGCAGTCAGGGGGCCACGTTAGGTTCGATGTTATCGTTTTGGGGAGGCCCTTCGATTAGTATATTCAATTGACTGTTTTACAACCACCCAAGCCCGACGATGTCAGTCACTCCCATCGTTATCATCATCATCATCATAAGTGTACGATCAGTTTATTATCATCATCATCTCACTACTGTGCTTCGCAACCTTTTTACATTCCACGGCACTCGCTGTCGAACTCGCTGGACCTCCACTACACACGTGTTTGCATGCGCGACCGAGGGAGTTGAGAGGGCCGACGATGGGAGCTGACGGCTATGTGGGGGCGGGGTGGAGGGGGGGGGGTGCTGAATCGGCCACTGAACGGCATGGAGAGTTCGTCTGTCCTGGCTTGCGAGCAGCGAGCTTCTTTCGTTTTATTCAGAAAACACCGCGGCGCACCTGGTCCTCGGCGCCACGTCAGTTACAGAGCACTCCGCTGGAGTGCAACGCTTGTGTCACAACCATTACAAAAGCGGGGCTCTGTATGATCTTTTGGGGGGTTGAAGGGAAAACCTCAAAGTCTGAGGCCCTCGGGCTACAGCTACGACCCCCTCCTCCAGCCTCCCCTGGCCCACGGCGCCTCTCGGCGTCACGGAAGGTGGCTGCGATGGTGGCCCTTGGCTATAAATCGCGGTTCGCGTGTAAACAATGGCAGTAGAGTTTGTAAACCGTGGCGGTGGTGACATTCGCTGGGAGGCGTGTTCAGCCGCCCCCCCCCATGCCCCCCCGCCCGCTGGTTTACGATGTTAACAAGAGCGGAGCGACACGTGAACGCGACGTCGGAAAATGTGACTCTTTGCGAACAATACCGGGGGTAGGGGACTGGGTATGGGGTTGTTCGCGCCTCGTTTAAATCACCGATGCTGAAGCACAGTGCCCACAGGCACACGATGCCGAGCGGGCAGCGGCAACAAACAGTGCTATTGAAGGTGAGGTTTTTTATGTCCTGTGAAGAAGGGTCATTGCCCGAAACGTCGCCCGTTATCTACATTGTTTTTTTTTCATCTTGAGGAAACAGTGTTATTGACGAAAGCGTTTTTTTGTTATTTGTTCTTTGGCATCACTGCCAACTCAGAAGCTGCAGCAGCATCATCACCACATAATGCTATTAACGTGGGGGTGTAATAGATAAGCGTTAACAGGTTTATGTAATGGTGCAACCCGAGTCTTATATGGGATACCGGACGATGGGAGGCTAATTCTAATATCGCGCAGTGCGATTAATGAAGCGTTTGACTCACTGCACGATTAACCTAGCCACCCTGAGTTGAATTCTGGGCCCTGGGCTAACATCAGTGGCCAATGACATCTGAAACCGGCTCTCTGGCTTCACCTCTTCACCAACTCCACCCTGACGAACGTGGCGAAGTATGGACGAACAACTCCCACGACTGACACGAAATGGGAAGGCCTTCATCCAGCAGCGGCTTTGTCAAAGTTTGAAAATTATAATTACGTATTATCACCGGTTACGTAATGTTCTATGTTGCAGTAATACCCAACAGCAGCCGCAGTTAATCAGAATAAGAATATGTATTTTCACTGGACGAATCCGATGAGCTCCACGTCTCTTTGTTATAGATGTCCAGTAGGGGCACGGCGTAAGTGAAAGCAGAACATTATCAAACAAAAAAACCCTCATCCACGTAGGTTCTGAATTTCCTCCATGAACAATGAGCCTTCTTTTTTTTAATACTCTTTGGTTTTTTCGGTAAAGTCACGTTGCATGCATTTTTTGGTCATTCGCAGACGTAATCAGGAAGAGTCGGTGCACGTGCGCGGGGATGGAGGAGGGCAGGCAGGGGCACCCACATTGCCAGGGTTGTGGCATCCGGGGGAGGGGAGGGGGGGGGTGGCGACCGAGGGGGAAGGACGCGAATAGATTGTAGGCGGGGAGGATTCAACGGTGAGATCGAGTCCGAGGATGTTGGATGTCGACTTTTGCAAAAAACTTCAGGATCTCGCAGGAGGAAGGAAGGACGTTGCATTTTCGGGAACGGCGATATTGGCCGCGAGTTTGAACATTAATGAACTCGTTGTAAGTGACGTTGGATTTTAGGAAGTGTTGCATGCGGTGGTTTCTAAAGCTATCCACAGTGCGCATGGATCGCTGCTTCGTGCGAGCGTTTTCTCTCTTTATTTAGTTCTTATGGCGTTTGAAAAAGAATAGCAGCGCTGCCGTTATACGCTTAATGTCGTGAGCCATTCCACGGCCAAATCCGGGGTGGTATCTGAGTGGAGTGGTCCACTCGTTCCACCAGGGTCGCGTGGTTTCATTGGTGCAGTCATCAGCGATGCGCCTGATGGTTGGCACCGCATTCACGGGTTGGTGGAGTCTCCTGAACTTCCATTTTCTAAGGAAATCACCCCACCCCTCCTTCTTCTTCCCTGCGTTGTCGGGGCACCGGTTGTATAAGAGCGGCCTCCGCTGTAGTCGGGCAGAGGAGATAAAGCACAGCTGTTCTTTCGTCAGGTCTTCATTGAGGTTGTTGGTCATCCAAAATGAGTAATTTGCCGGTTTTCCTTTGAGTTTGGCTAAACATTTTTTTTTTAACCGTAACGCCGGAACACGATGGCTTACTCGCGTCGAATGACGTCAAGGGGATCTTTAACGTCCAGTAATTTGTTGTTGTAACGGTTAACACACACCGCCGCCGAGTATTAACCAGGGCGGCCGCCGCGGTTCGTGGAGAAAAAAAAAACCCCGTGAACTCCTGAAACAAGCGGGGGCGAAGGCGCGAGCTACCCCGCTGGGGTCACCGCGCCGCGTCCACCAAGCCCCGAGCGGAGCGAGACAAACGCCGGCACCCCCCAAGACTCGAGACATTCAAACAGAAATGCAGCAGGCAATTCCGCACGCGTGTATGTGTGTCTGCGTTGTGCATCGGGCTGAGTTTCACTTCTATGTTTGGGGCGGGGTGGGTAAGGCAAAAAGTGGTTCGCTTTGTTCCTCGCCATTCGGAATCGAGGGTGCATGTGATGAATGTGTTTTTAATCTTAATTGTAAACTTCTTAAAATAAACGAATAAACGTGTCCAAACTCCGCCCGTGTATGTGTGTGGAACTTCGTTCGCGTGTAATGAGGCAGGGAAGAGCTTTTGAACGACTGCAACTCCACCGGCCGTGTTTGTACAACAGCAAAGACAATGACAAAGATCCCCTGTTTAGGCTGAACAGATTGTTGGGGCAAGTGCTGTTAGCGAGCAGCACCTATGAAGGCC